TGCCGGTGCTGTTTCTTGGCTGTCCTCCCTGTGCTGGTGACGTCCTTAGGACCCTGATCTTCCCTATGCCATTGTTACCCTTGCCCTCTCCCCTCCACACCACTCTCGTCCACAGAGGAAGGGAAGGAAAGCCAGCGGGTTTAGAACCAAATAGGAAGGGAGAGGGAGGGAATGTTTGTCTTGTTGTGGGGTGCTGAGGGTGGAACCACCTCACACGGGGCTGCACTCCAGCCTGAGAAACTGTCTTGAATTGGCAAGGCTCTTTGCATACATTGACCCAGTGATGCCCTTTGCTTGTTTCAGCTATTCCTAGAATATCCTGAGAACCTCACCAGAGCACTTTGCCCTGGAAGAATCCTGTGTTTCTGTGGCAGATTGTTCCTTGGGTACCCCTTGTTAGGGTCTGACTGTATCCTCCCAAATTCACGTGTTAAGACCCTGTTTTAGTCAGGGTTACCGTCGCTTTGATGAAACACCGCGTCCAAAAGCATCTTGGGAGGAAAAGGTTAATAGGGCTCACTTATCTGGAGTCCTTTGAGGAACTCAAATCGGGTGGGAACCTGGAGGCAGGAGCTGATGCAGAAGCCGTGGAGGATGCTGCTTATTGGCTTGCTCCACATGGTTCATTTGGCCTGTTTTTTTTTTTTTGAAACCCAGGACCATCAGCCCAGGGGTGGCCCCACCTACAATGGTCTCAGCCTTCCCACACCAGTCACTGAGTAAGAAAAAGCCCTACAGGCTTGTGTACTGCCTGCATCTTATGGAGGCATTTTTTTTTTCCTGATTGAGACTCCTACCTCTCCATGACTCTAGCTTGTGTCCAGCTGACATGAAACTAGCCAGCACAGACTTTAAGACTCAGGTGGTGGTATGAAAAGGTGGGGACTTTGGAAGATGGCTAGGCCTGAGGGTGAGCGTTCCTGAGTGGGACGAACGTTACATGAAAGGAACCAGAGGAAGCTCCCTGTGTCCTTCCACCAGGTGAGGACACGGTGAAAGAGCACAGACTGCGAGCCTGGAGGAGGACCCCCATCAGACCCCAGACCTGCTGGCTTTGATTATGAAACCTCAGCCTCCAGAATGCTGAGAGACGCAGAGCAGTGCTGTACAGGCAGGCTGTCAGTCGCATGTTCCATGGCCCTCACACACTAAGATACCACACCTGAGAAGCTGTTCTTTGGAGTTTGAATTCACCGTACGCTGGATTAGCCTGTCAACCTGTAGTGTGTGGTCTCATGTAATTCACTCTGGTGCCCACGAGGATATGGATGGGGCATGGATGAACTTAAGTGTGTGGAGCCCAAGGCGTGAGTTGGCCCTTTCACACTAGTACGTGAGCACCTTCCTCTTGGAGGCAGGCCCTTGCTACCTCCGTCTGTCATAGTGACACATAGCCTTGAGGAGAGAGAGGCACTAAGTGATATAAGCTCCCCACACGTTCCAGCGACTGCACAACCTTCGCTGCCTAGGTCTCCAGGGCTGGCCCAGAGTTGAAATCTCTAACCAAAATTTGCCCCCTGAAAAATATTTTGGTCGTTGTAGACTCAATGTTAGTCACTAGTAGAATGTAGAAAGCTTTTATAGCTTCAGACAGTAGGTCTGTGAAGAAAAGTTTTTTTTTTTTTTTTTAAATAAAAATTTTTTTAAAATAGTTTTTGAAACAGGATCTCTTTATGTAGCCCTGACTCTCCTGGAACTCACTATGTAGTCCAGGCTGGCCTGGAACTCACTGTGTAGTCCAGGCTGGCCTGGAACTCACTGTGTAGTCCAGGCTGGCCTGGAACTCACTGTGTAGTCCAGGCTGGCCTGGAACTCAGAGAGATCCGCTGAAGAAATGTTTTTTAGATTACTATTTTATGTGTATAAATGTTTTGCCTGCCTGCATGTATGTGTACCACATTTGTGCCTGGTGCGCACAGAGGTCAGAAGAGGGCATTGAATCCCCTGGAACTGGAGTTACAGATGGTTGCAAGCCACCAGGTGGCAGCTGGGAACCGAGCCCAAGTCCTCTACAAGAGCAGCCAGCGTGCTTAACTGCTGAGCCATCTCTAATGTTTTATAAAGAATCTCTAACTGTCCAGAAATGGGCTTAGCCCCATCCAAAGCTATCTGAAGCTTAACCAGACCACCAGGAAGTAAGTCAGGAAGGTCTCCGAGCTGGTGGTACAATGTGAATGTGATATATGTACACGCACACACAAACACAGATATTTAGCAATTACCTATAGTTCAGCTTACTCTATATGCACATACATGTGTATTTCAAATCATAATTTCATTTTTTATACAAGAGGTTGCCAGACCATTACCGGAACTTATTAATGCTTGCAGGGCACACTGTTCTGATGTCTTCAGTCCATAGCAAATCTTAGCAGAGAGCTGTGCAAACAGCAGGAAGAGAGAGGTGAGTTAGTTAGCAGAGTGAGGGACGTGACTGGATCAGGGAGCCCCGCGGGATGGCACAGCCCAGGCCTTCCCTCTTACATCTGGAGAAGCTAAAGTCCCCAGAAGTCACCTGGCAGAGATCCCACAGTGGGGCTGCTCTGGAATCCAGCCCTCTAGATGACATCATTGACAGTTTCTGAATGTAATAACATACTTGCTCGCTAACGTCATAACTGATCAGGATATTAGTCAAAATGTCATCCAGAAACTATTTCTGTTCAGAAAACTCAGGGAAGTGTCAGTATTCTTTGAAAAATGCCATTCCATCCTCTGGGTGGGTGGACGTCTGCTTTTGGAAACTTCTCTCTTGGACCTTCATTTTCTCTGGTGGTGTCTAACGAAGGAGAGTGGGTGTGTTTCCAGCTCAGAGTGAGGCAGGTGAGGGCAAGTCTTCACTGGGGAGGGCAGAGCTCCGAAGTGGGTTGCTCTGATGGTGCCCATGTCACAAAACATCCACTAAGATAGGGAGCAAAGCCGTTCCCTGGCACTTAAAATCTTTCTTAAATATATTTTCTTATTTATGTTGATTATACTCGTGGTATTCATTCAGCACGGAACCAGAAAACCGGGCCCATGGGATGGCTCGGCTGCAAAAGGTACCTGCCGCCAGGCCCGATGACCTGAGTTTAATGCCCAGTATTGGAAGTTGTGTTCTGACCACCACATGTGCATGCACATGTACATGCACAATAAAGTGGAATATAATTATATTTTCTTTTAAAGAGCTAGAAAAGAGATATGAAATCTATGGAGGGGAAGAACATGCTCAGCTTGAGAAAAAAGAATTGCGCTGTTAACACCTGGCACAGATTCTGCCTTGCTTGCTGGCTCATTTGGACGGTCATTATTTGCTTCCCTGCCACACACAGGCACATGAAGCTCGATTATGTGGCCCATAGTTTATTTTTCCTGTTTTCAGTTAGTAATGAAAATATTTCCACCTAGATGCCTAAAGCTCTACCACTAATTTTTTTCTTTTTTCTTTTCTTTCTTTCTTTCTTTTTTTTTTTTTTTTTTTTTTTATTTTTTGAGACAGGGTTTCTCTGTGGAGCTTTGGAGCCTGTTCTGGGACTCACTCTGTGAACCAGGCTGGCCTGTAACTCACAGAGATCTGCCTGCCTCTGCCTCCTGAGTGCTGGGATTAAAGGCATATGTGTACCACTACCTCCCGGCCCTACCAATATTCTTAAACCGTTGCAAAATGAATCTGTTCTGTGGCTGTGCCTTAATCTGATGAACTGGTCCCCACTGTTGGATGTTTTGGTCACCTCCAGTTACTTTTGCTAACGTAACTACAGTCTCCTTACTCCCAGCCTTTATCATAACTTAGAATAGTATCTTGGGCCAGGCGGTGGTGGTGCACGCCTTTAATCCCAGTACTCGGGAGGCAGAGGCAGGCAGATCTCTGTGATTTCGAGGCCAGCCTGGTCTACAGACTGAGATCCAGGACAGGCACCAAAGCTACTGAGAAACTCTGTCTCAAAAAACAAAAACAACAACAACAAAAAAATAGTATCTTGGAAAGACCACGGTGTGTTGAAGGAAGCCGAGTCTTTTACAATGTTCTGTGTGTGCTGCCAAAGCTCCCAGGCTGTTTTTCTCCTCTGACTTTGTGATATTTAGAAAGTTGATCATGTCCACAATTGAGGAGTCTCCAAGCTGTATTCCACCAAAGACCTCTAGCATCGTGGCCTTTCCTCCTCCTCCTCCTCCAAGCTGGGCCCTCCCCCCCCACTCCCGCCCCCCACTCCTGCTTTCCTTGTATGATCTCTCTGACCCTTGTGTGTAGCCATGGGGCTCCAGCATCTGCCCCAGAGGAATTGGAATGGTGGGTAGGACCCATAGAGAAGATGAATGCGTGGGCATACATGTGGACCTGCCCACTGGTATTTAGAACGTAGTTTTAGGCAATTTCCTGGGCCCACCCACTCTCACTCATGCACATGCCAAGGGCCCTGGCTGGTGCCTGACCATTCAGAAGCTGCAGGTTAATCCTCTGGCTTACAACCAAGTCCTCGTTTCTCCACTTGGTCTTGTGACCTGCCTCCTGTCCCTTTCTCCCCTCTGTAGTCACCCCGCCCCCTTGTCTACGCTCTAATTACAGTGACCTTCTGCTGTGCTGCAGAATGTCGGGCTCCTTCCTAATCATGGCTTTCAGCTGTAGGAATGGCTCCCTGCACTGGTGGCTGCTCACCTTTCTCTTACTCCCCCACCTTTGGGGCCCAGCCAAGTGTGGTGATGGAGAGCGTGGCTGCTGAGGTCAGGCTCGAGCTATTCAACCTGTCTGTGCCTTTGTTTCTAAGTGGTGATGAAACCAGCACCCCGGAGGGGTTGCTGGACGACTGTATATGGAATATGATAACCTCCTCCTACAGGTCTCCGTACGTGCTTGTGGTTAGCCAGGAGTAAAGCACTCTTCCTGGACCTATCTTTGGACAGATATCTCCTTCCTGTTATGGAAAGGGGGTGTGAGCCCTGCCCAGGGCCAGATGTTAAAACACATCTGCATCTCCTGGGAACTTTCTGAGTTTCTTGACTTTTTTTTTTCTCCATAGCGCCCCTGGAACTGATGATGTCATCCAGCCTGCTGCTCCTGCAGACCCGGGACACGCACCCTTAGCTGACTCTTCCCATCATGGTGGCAGCGCCAGCTCAGTCTCTACACATCTGACAGTCCACAGGTACAGCTGGGGCTGCCTGAGCCCAGGCCCCGTGGGCTCTCCCTTCTCTTCCCTCGTCCCACGCCCTTACTCGCCTCTCACAGTGTAGACCTGTTCTGAACACAGTAGGTACGTGCCAGGGCTTAGCTCCTTGTGGCCTTAGTTATACTCTGAAGGGACACTGGAAGCCCTCCAGAGAATGTGTGTGCCGTCTCAGGACGTGGTGTAAGGCGCTGGCTACCTGCTGGCCGCCTGGGACACCAGCTGGGCCAGCTGCTTGTTTTCGTCAGTCTTTGGGTGATGATCAGAGAACAGAGGAGTCAGCAGAGCGTGGGAGGAGGAGCCGGGTTCCTGGGCCTTTGCCTGGCGCAGAGACCTGGGCTCTCAGCTCCGTCTTCTGTCCTGTTGTCTCCCTACAATCTTTCCTTCTTCCTTGCCCTTCACACCCCAGCTCTTTGCCACCCCATCTTTGGCCTGGATTCAATTTCACCTACCTCCCCTTTGCCTGTAGCCTTTGCATTTAGACCAGGCTTGGTCTACAGTGGCTGGCTCTCTCTCTCTCTCTCTCTCTCTCTCTCGCTCTCTCTCTCTCTCTCAATACCTATGTATTTACACATAACACACACACACACACACACACACACACACACACACACACACACACTCCTCTATATAAATAATTACACAGTGCACATTCATATCAACTCTGGGGTCTCTTTATTAGTTACCTTTCCTGTTGCTATGACAATACCCCACAAAAGCAACTTTCGGGGCAAAGGACTTGTTTTGGCTCACAGTTTGAGGGCACAGTCCATCGGGGCACAGAAGGCACAGCCGCAGGACCGTCCAGCAGCTGGTCACTTAGTGCCCATAGTCAGGGCAGAGAGAGATGAACTCGGAGCTCTGCCACTTCCTCTGAGGGCACAGGGCCACCCACGGTTGGGGTGGGTCATCTTCCCTCCTCTGTTAGCCTGTCTGGAAAGTCCCTCCCAGACTGCCCAGAGACGCGTCTCCTCGGCGGCTCTAGGTCCTGTCAATCTGACAATGTTACCTGACATAGTCTCCATCTGTATACATTTTAATTTATGCTTATGTCAGAAAAGTCACTGCGTTTTGCCAGATCCCGCGAAGCACTAGGGGAGCCTAGGTGAGCAGAGCAGAAAAGGGACTTTGTATCCTGGAGCTTGTGCCTCAGGTCTCCTCCTCTAAGGAGCCTTCCTTTCAACTCAGCTGCCCTTTCTAAAAGTCTGTAAGTTCCCTGCACCCAAGTCCATCTCCCCCACTACTCGGGGCGTTCCTCCAAGGGAAGAACTTGTCTTCCTGACTCTTGGGACTGCAGCACCCGACCTGGAATGGAGGGGGAGATGCTGTGACTTGCCCATGGGTTCGAGGAGAGGACAAGGAGGCTCCTTGCCTACTTACCTGTGTCTTCTGTGTACTGACCCCTCCCTGGCTCCGTGTCTCAGGTCACTAGTGATAGGCAGGTGGGTGGCAGCAGGGGGAGAAGCCCTTTCCCTAGGGAATCTGCCTGGTGCAGGAAAAATAGCAGGGGAGAGATGGCAGGAAACCACAGCAGAGAGCCAGAGACGCCTTGGCAGTTGAGCGATGGCCAGGGATTTCAGTGTTCCCCTCACCATGGGAGTCAGCTGAGGTTCTTAGTTACACATACATTTCACTCAAGTGGTGTATAGAAGGTGCTTGTGAGTAGCAGGTCACCCTCCTCCCTACCCCTCCTCTGCTTCCCTGTTTCAGTGATGCTCCAACTTGCTGACCCCCCCCCCCCCGCCCCCCGGAGTTTTAGGAAGGCCCAGGGTCCTCTGGCCACGAGTGGGGTTACCTCCCTTAGTGAAGCCAGGAAGGGAGTTTTCTTTACTCCGTTGGTGTTTCTCTCTTACAGTTGGGGTAAGGGGGATATGGGACCACCTAGGTCAGAAGGTGAACAAGGACATGGTTACAGATGGCACACAAGGTAACAAGTCCAGCTAGGGGTGTGGTCTGCCCTTGTGAGGTCCCCTCTCTACTCTGGGGACCATCCTTTTAAACAGCTTGTCCCAGGCCTCTTTTTGCCTAAGACACAGCAAGATGGCTGTGTGCACCATCTTGAGTGGATCTGTGGATCCTCACAGGGCCCATGGATGATGCACAGACCAAGGCTCTAAAATGTTAACAGGCTCAGGCCATAGAGCAGCCATGTTGAGGCAGGTGCACCAGGCTGCCCAGCTACTCTCCTAACCTCATACCTGGCAGATGTCACCTACAGCATGAACCAGGGGTGACCACAGAATGCAGGACAGGATAGGGAGGTCAACATAGATGCTCTCAGTGCTGAAGAGTAGGCAGCTTCCTGGCTTTGCCTCCCAGAGGCAGGACAGCTAGGACTGAGGCAGGAGCCGAAGACCAGGGAAACATTCAACCAAAGAGAAGCCAGCCGGAGCCTGAACCTTTGTGCAGGAGGGTATCGCTAGGATGGTGGGAAAGAGGCAGTTCCTCTGCCACTGGTTGGTTTCACTTTGGTCACCCAAGGTGATGAAACTGTCTTGTAAAATACAGCTAGTTCTCCTTGTTCAGTCAGTATCTGTGAATTTGACTCTTCTCTGCGGTTTACTGGTAACCCCAGAGCTAATAGTCATGGCTCCCTCAGTCCTTTGCAGATGGGTTCGGAGCAGTGAAACAAAGGGAATCACTCAACATGAGCGTTCTCGGCCGGAAGTTGCAGGGATGCTCTGCTTTCTTGATGTTTTTACTCTTGTGCTGGGAACACGTGACCGTCTTATGGCACACTGGAAACCTTTTGTGCTTTTTGTTGGTGACCTTGCTGTTTGGAATGACCCGTGTACAGTGTTGAAGTACAGAGAAGCCCGAATGTGTCCAATGAAAAAAACTATGGGGCTTCACTGAAGCTTTGTTCTGTCTGGCAGGAGTTAACGTCATTGGGTGACTAGGGTGCTGGTAAATCAGAGTGTGACCCAGGATGCTTTTAAATGGAAACACACACACACACACACTGAAGGTTGTATTTCGATAGACTGGCTGATCAAAGTCTTCGCAGAGGCTCTCAGGAACCTAGAGCCCATCCCTCCCCACCCCCAGTGATTCGGTGTTGGTTGACTCCTATCTGTGGACTCCATAGAACATGTGCTGTGAGTGGCGAGCAGCAGATGGACCAACCCCTGCCCACCTGCTGGAGTGCTGGCTAAGAAGCGTGTCCTGGTGAGCGCTGTAGTGACTTCAACCTCAAAAGTGACCCTCTTCCCCTTCCTGCTTAGAGTAGGATGGAGATAAAGGAAGATATGGGGTAGGGGATGTGGTTTGCCTTCCTGCAGAAACAAGGCTTGCTGTTTGTCTAGCTTGTGTGACTATATTTGTGGAGAGATGTGAACCAACTTCTACTGTCCCCAGATAGGGTACCGATGGCAGACCAAAGTAAGTAGACAGCCGCAGTCCAAGCTGCTGAATCACTGAGTTTTCCTGCTGTGACTTTCAGGAGTGTGTGTGAGGGGTTACAGGAGCAGAAATAACTCAAAGACAGCTGCATCACCAAAGACCACTCCAGTGTGGGTGACAGCTCCTGACTGGAGCACACTGTACAGCCTGCAGCAGCTCAGCAGGGTGGAGTCTCTTCTGAGCATCTTTCAGCCATCTTTACTGTTCTAGATACTTGAGGACGGAGGAGCCTAATGATACTGGTCAGTTTCAGGGACTTTCTGAAGCTTTTGAGTTGTCTACTTCCTGAGTTTTAAGTTGCTTCCCTGCAGGATGGAATGTTTCCTCTTCCTTTAGAATGGCAGTTCTCACCCTGTGAGTTGTAATCCCTTTGGGGGTTAAATGACCCTTTCTTAGGGGTCACATATCAGGTATCCTACTTATCAAATATTTACATTACGATTCATAATTGTAGCAAAATTACAGTTATGAAGTAACTGTATAATTGTTTTATGGTTGGGGGTCACCACAACATGAGGGACTGTATAAAGGGTCTCAGCACTAGGAAGGTTGAGAACCACTGGCTTAGAACATCCTAGTCACAATGTTTTATCTTTGAGGAGATTTCTACACAACAGAATTTAAAATAAAAAACTTTTTAAAAGTGTTTTTTGGGGCTGGAGAGATGGCTCAGAGGTTAACAGTATTGACTGCTCTTCTGGAAGTCTTGAGTTCAATTTCCAGCAACCACATGGTGGCTCACAAACATCTATGAGATCTGGCGCCCTCTTCTGGTGTGCAGGTATACGTGCAGGCAGAACACTGTATACATAATAAATAAATAAATAAATAAATAAATAAATAAATAAATAAATAAATAAATAAATAAATCTTTTTTTATTATTTTTTTTTGAGATAAGATCTCATTATGTAGCCCTGGCTACCCTGGAACTATTGATTTAGATCAGGCTGTCCTTAAACTAAAAAATCTAACTGCCTCTGCCTCCTGAGTGCTGAGATTAAAGGTGTATAGTACCATGCTCAGCTAAAAAAAAATTTTTTTAACTCGCAACTATTTTTTTAGATTTTTAATAAAAAAAATTATTTGTGTGTATGTGTGTGTGTGTGCCACATGTGTGTAGGTGCCCCCAGAGACTAGAAGAGAGTTTTGGATTCCCTAGAGCTGGGGTTATAGGCAGTTGTCAGTGTCCTGATATGGATGCTAGGAAGAGTAGCAAGCACTCTTCACCGCTCAGCCACCTCTCCAATTCATGTCAAAATTTTAAATGTGTTTGAAAAGGTACTCAAAGGGCTGGCAGGATGGCTCAGTGGATAAGGTCCTTGCTGCCAAGTCTGATGACTTGTCAGTCCCTAGGACCCACGTGATGGAAGGAGAAAATGGATTCCTACACATTGTCCTTTGACCTCACACTCATGCCATGCCATATGTGTACATGTGCTTGCAGAAATGTGCACACACTCACACAAATGCAATAAAAATCTAAGAAAAAATTAAAAAGGTATTTAAAGAAAATGAAGGCAGGCACAGTGGCCCATTTCTGAGACCCCAGCAACAGGGAGGCAGAACAGGAGGTCGA